ATGGTTCTTCCTGGAAAAACTACGAAGGAGACTGTATCAAGGTTAGGATATGTTAATAGTTAGTGTAGTAGACAAAAATGGTAAAAACCTTATTTTGTTCATAGATATTCTCTGGAAACGTTGACCAACAATCTGTGAAAACAAACAAGCTGAAAGTTCACATAAACGCAAGGTACATCCGATTGATTGTGAAAGATTATCAAGGTGGCGCAATGTTGAGGATGGAGCTCTATGGCTGTCCTTTCGATCCTTAACTTTTATCAACAAACGGTTCACAGATCGACAACAAAGGGCTCTGGAAATAAGGAATTTTCATCATCTCTGAGTGCAGACTTAACGTCCAGTTCAATGACTTACCAGATAAAAAAAATGCTGATCTGTCACCTTTCACCATGTATTTTCCGTTATATCGTACTCACTTGCACAAATTTGTGTTCTTGAATACAGCTTGTGCGWTATTTGTGTAAAGATAGGAATATGAGAACCGCATGGCACTATGATAAACATGATATAGAAATAAAGGAAAGGAATAGTGCTTAGAAGAAGAGATTATTCCGGGAGAAAGACCCTTGGAAATAAATTCGGAAAAATTTGATTTGAAAAACTGATTTGAAAGAAATTGATTTTTCAAAATTTATTTCCAAGGGTTCTTCCTCCCGGGAAAACCTCCTTCTAAGCACTATTCCTTTCCTTTATTTCTATATAATCGTTATAATGTATATCTGTGCTTGACAAGTCTTTGCAAGATAAGTCTTGTTGAGTCGTTTTCAATCATTTCTGTCGCTTTTCATCTTTATAGGATTCGTTTATTCTTTCGAACTGACACAATTATCAAGAATTAAGATACTCTTGCTAAACACCTTTAATTATTTCTTTACAAATTCCTACAAATRTTAATAACTGATCGACTTTTCTCCCTAAAACGGATGGATAATTTGCAAACATTTTGTTCCTATTAAAGTAAAATGCGATTTTAATCGCAAGATTATAAAACTTTCTAATTGTAGACTATAAAGTGATTATAATTGACATAGCTTTGAGCTTTTTTATGAAATACTTCTAGCTAGAACTATAAAACTATATACCTACATTTCAATTTAAACACATTAAAAAATAGATTATAAAATAGATTTAAAAAAACATTTTACGAAGGAAGAATTGTTGTTTCCTCTTAAATTACTAAACATTACTTTGAAAATATTTGATATATTCTTAGGCGTCTATTATGAGACAATAAATCTAAAATTCCAAAAAAAAAACATTAAAAACTACTCTAGTTTTTTTCTCTATAACCTTAGTATAAGATTCAGGATTCATCTTTAAAAGTTGTTTAATTCTCCTATTGAGTAATTGGTTATAATGTCCGCTAGTTGCTGATCAGGGCAACGAGCCCAACGCTTTCTCAAAGCATTGAAAAACCCTGCCAGTGTCTAATGATTTTTTTCTAGAACTTCTTTTAAAACTGAAGATGAATGTAATCGCTGAATCCAATATGTCCTTTGAACGAGTAAAGTCTGAGTTTGCTAGGGTTCACCATTTTCACATCTATGTATTCCTTAGGATTTTTTATCAAAATCCATTCCTGGCCAGAAATACAGTTTTTTGCGGAGTGTTGATACAGGAGCTGGGACTTGTGTTCGGCCTTGCGATGTCTTTTGTACAAGCCTGTGAGCTTGATCTTTAATGAATCTTGTCAATATCTCTTCAACATGTTCCGAATCTGCATATTCTAGGAAAAATCGAACCAAGCTTTGGATGAAATAGCTTCCTTCTTCCGTGTGTCGGTATGAGTTGTAATCTTCAAAACTAGAGTAAGCGATGAGCATGTCTGCCATATCAGCATCTTTGCTCTCTGTATGTGGATGCTGTACTGAAGATTCTACCGATGGCCCATCGGCTGCGACAAACTTACTGCCCTTTTGTCGACTGCATGCTTGTATAAAAAACAGCTTTGGCTTGAAGCGAAAAACCTCACACATCGAGTTGCAGAACATGTTGTAAACAGATGAGACTTTGATTGTGTTTCCATCGTGTGTGTAGAATTTGTCGTCTTTTCCATGACTCATGATGCATACTGCAAGACAGTCGTAATCTTTGTAGGCAGAGTCTTCAGCAAAACTTCGCAATTCTAACAAAATTTCAATTCTTGGTTTGTCTATGATGGTGCAGACTTTGAAATTTAGCCTTCCACTGAAAAAATCAGTTAAATCATCAACATCCCTCTCAGAACTTTTGCGCTCGGTTAATTCTTTCATGAGCTCCTCACGGTTTTCAAGTGTAGGATCAACAGCAAATTTCTGGATGTTAATGATGACCATCAATCCTCTGGGGTTACTTTTCATCCTGTACACATCGTTCGAAGCTGGATCGTATTTCCAGTGACCAGAGTACTGTTGCTCCTAAATAGAGGTGAACATTCAATTAGTACAAAAGAGGAAAATTTAATACAGATCTCATCTATATTGTTTCTCTACCGGCATAATTACAATAAAGATAACTGACCAACCTCTTCTATCTCTTTAATTCTCTCTTTMAGCTCKTCTATCTTATCCTTTAGTTTCAGCWTTTTGTACATCGCTTCCAATCTCTCCCGAATCAATGTCCTCACAAKGCTGTGATTGTATTCTGGAAGTGCTTCTTCCATTTCAAAAGCCTGTTCATAGCTTTTRCGTGCACTCTCGATATCTTTCCTCCACTCGTGAATAATTCCTGTTAGGTACAGAATCCTAGCAGTATCAGGATGTTCACCCAGCCGTTTTAGTCTGTTTTCACAACACTTGTTTGCATAAAACAGCGCCTTRTCATAATCCCCAATACCGATTAAAGAGTTTGCAAKGTTTCTTTGAAATGTGGCGGTGTGTTCTGTATCACTGACGCCTAAATCGTCTTGAAGTTTAAGAGCTCTTTCCATCCATTCTACWGCAGCATTGTATTCTGCATCAATTTTCTTTTTATACCGAAACGCGAAAAAAGACTTTYCCATTTCCATACCACGTCGCTCGTGARCCTGCGCSATTTGGTTGTAGTATGTCGGGATCTCCCAGTGGYTGTCRCTCCCAACAAGTKTCCTTTTCATTTCCAATGCGCTGAGAAAGTAYGTCTCTGCAGTCGAAGGATCGTTTAGCTCCATGTAGCAATTCCCAATCAGATTGATAATCCGAGCATTCATGGTACTGGCTTGCCCTTTTGTTGCATCCTCACTCAGCTGCAGAGCTTCCTYSAAATGTCTAATCCCTTCTTGAATTTCKTCTTTCTTTTCTCTTGAGTCCTGCGATTTTGAAGCATGGAGCCACTTAATTCTTCCACTGGCATGAAGAAACAGACTTTTAGCAGAATYAAGYTGTTCCTGCTGYTGTTGCGGTTGTTGCTCTGCCTTTTTCAARGACTCTTTTGCAATACAGAGTGCTTSATTGGCATCGMGYGTYCCTTCCATSTCWGCTCCCTGTAAAGCCTGCCAGCATCTTAACTGTGCACTGGTTAACCATTTCTCTAAAATTATGAAAAGCATCACAATTATGACTCACATTTTTAAACATTTGACGAACGTGTTRTCACATGCAAACGAAGCGCAATGATATGCATATTTCGAAKAACACGAGTGAAGCAGTTCAAATCAACTGAGTATTTCAAATCTTGCTCTCATAAACACACATTGTTCAAATCTTACATAAAAATAAACAAAATGTTTTTTTTTTTCAAACATAACCTGCCTTCTTTTCTGTGAAGTTGTAGCAATAAGGTGTGACAGTTTTCTAAACAATTGTTATCTTTTCCCATTAAATAAAATGATAAAATCAGGCGTGAACAAACTGTCACCATTAAACATTCATTCATTGGTGCGTCCATGATGTGTTAGTTTACACGGTGTTTTAAAGATTAAWATTGTACGATGTCAATACTAATTTCGATCGAATTAATATTGCATTTCTTACTTCGAGGCTTCTTTACTCAACACATGAACAAAATGAAAAACAAAAATAGGAAAAATTCAACAAGCTGACTATGGCGAATCTCCTTTGAAACTGCATACCTGATCCTGTAAATGAATGTACAACAAACATGTCCTGTGAAACTACATACCTAATCTTTCTGCAATTTCAGCGTACTGCGAATATAGCATCTTTCTTTCGTTGATGTCTTTGAAAGCTTCAATTAAAAGGCCCATCAAATTTGTTTCAGTATGGTTATCACAATGGAGAAGAACATCAAAGACTTCACTTCGTTTCTTTGAAATGTCAATGGCCAGTTCAAAATTAGCTCGGTTTCCTTCAAGCTTTGAATAGACATTGACACAATCTTTATCTAAATGTTGAGCAAGTTTGCTCATTTTGCCAGAGAAGTGAATAAAAAAATGTTTTTCTCCCTCTTGATAAGTCTCTTTGTACTGTGGTTGGGCTTTACAAAGGTACTTTTTCACAAAATCTTTGAACTGAGCATGGGTATCATACTTTAAATTCTTTCCCTCTACACGCAAAATTACTTTGTGAATTGCTA